GGTTTCGATCCGAAACTTGTGGGTTCAGATCGCTTATTCCTGGAGAATTTCGTCTCCCTCTTCTGTACCTGGGGAATCATTCAAGACTTCCTTATAAGGCTTCATGTCCACTATTGAGGCGCCTTTCGGATTCCGTCCAGCTAAGTCAGAGACTTCGTAGAAGTTTCTGGAATGCTTTTTCGTCACCACTAGTGGCCTATTGAATGGTTTATTCAAAGAGCCTGAGCGGTGCTTGGCAGCATTTGACAAAACGTGGTTTCGAACTAGAACTAGTTCTCCAACGTCGAGCTCTCCTTTTCTCCGGCGCAAGTTATATGCTTGTGCCTGGCGATCGTTGGCTTATATTAGGGCGTGCCAAGCCAATCGGAGGGTATCGTGTCGTTTCATACGCTCTACCCATGCTTCTGCGGGGGTCTCTTCAACCTTCACTTCTCCTTCCAGCTTTCTCCGCAATGAGTTGGCTGGTTCCGGCTCTCGTCCGAGGTTGACGAAGGCCGGTGTGGCTTTCAGCGAGCTATGTTGGGCTGTATTGTACGCAAATCTAAATGCGACCAAGTGACAATCCCATTCTCGGTGATCTGTCTCCACGTAAGCCCGTATCATCGCTTTTATCGAACGGTTCACTCTCTCGGTGGGTATTTGCCAATACGCCGCGCTCAAATCTAGAGTGGAGATGTAGTTGGCTTGCCTTAACTCGTCAAGGATTCCGGTCATGTTGGCGACCGGGTAGGCATCCTTTTTCGTTACTTCATTAACCCGACGGAAATCGATACAAAACCGATATTTTCCATTCGGTTTCTTCACCATGACGAGAGGACTATTCCAATCGCTCGCTGATGGTTTGATTATGCCATCTTAGAGCATGTCGTCAACCTCTTTCCACATCGCTAATTTCAAGTGATTGGAGGCTAATCTGACTCTTTGCCGAATTGGTTCGTGACCTTCCACGTCAATTCGGTGAGGTGTCAGTTTGGAAATCGGAGGACTTCCCTCGATTACTGGAATCTTTCGGTCCAGCATCCTCTGGAGCATATTATGTTGCTCCTCTCCTGGCGTCCTGAGGCCATTACACATGGTTATGGGACAGGCTCTCTGAACGGCTACGAATCTAAATGACTCGCTGGGCTTGTCCCGGGAAAACCACGACTGGTCGAAGAAATCGATAACCATTCGTGCCTCTTTCAGGAAGTCTATTCCCAGCATGAAATCCTCGGATAGCGAAACCATCCAGAGGGTTTCTACCTCGACTTCTCGCCCGCCAACCTTTAAGGGTATGGTGGAGGCATCTTTCACCACTTCGAGCTGGCTGTTGGCTACCAGTACTCGTCGTGGTGGTATTCTTGTCGCGAGAATTCCTAACTCCTGTAGCAAATCAATCCCCGCTTTTCCAGCGAAGGTTCGAGATGCCGCAGAGTCAACTAATCCTCGTATCGTTTCCCCATGGATACTTATATCCACATGGAAGGCTAGTGTTTTGCCCTCTTTCATCGCCTGTTTGAGGGCTTCCCAACTTGGGATTTCCTCTGGCGAGAAACTCTTCCAAGGGTCCGTCAGGTATGACGTGAGGCTTTCACCTTTTACCCTGGCCTTTGGCTCTTCTATTGTAGTCGCTATTGGCGTTCGTGGCCTTGGCGCTCGCTCTTCAGTCTCTGGGAGTTTTTCCTCCTCCTCGACTGTGACTTCCGAGGTCTCCGGCGGCGTAGTTTGGCTCTCTACGCGGCCGACTCCGCGTTTCCCGGATTGCACCTTGGGCAGCCGGGAAAGAGGACATTCTTTCTGCCACATACGTAATAGAAAACTTTTCTGGCTTCTGTGCATAGGCGCTAGCAGTGTCCTCTCTAGTCGCAATTATGACACTTTAGTCCAGCTGGTCGACTGGCTTGGTCGACTGGCGCCGGGTCTGGCGTAGCCAGTACCTCCACACCTCCCTGAAGAGGCACCACGACTTTACAAGGCGTGTGCCACTTCCAGCTCTTCGAAGAAAACATTCGCTTCCTCGTCTCTCTCCGACGTTTCCAGGTCGATCTCTTGGTTAGTTATCGAACTGATCGCCGTTCTCTGTGGATTTCTCTGTGCCTTGATACATCGGTAAGCGAGGCTCGGGCAGAGAGATTCCTCTGGCTGCCTAGGGGGCTGCCACTTCTGGGCGCTTGCGTACAGGGTCTCCTGCCGCATGGCGTGCTTCTGCAATGCCTTTATTGTGGCATTGGCGCTCATGTTAAAACCAATTCGGAACTTGGGCAACGTATTGTGATACATGTACGTAAGCCTTTGTTGTTCCGGCCATGGTGGATTCGTTCGGGCGAAGAGTCCCTTTAAATTAGCCATGAATTGGGCTACGGACTCGTATTCGCCTTGGCGACGGCTTGCGATCTCTTCGTGGAGGGCTACTTGGTAGTCCAATTCCCCGAAGTTCTCTCTAAAGGCGTGACATGCGTCTTCCCACCAGTATACCTCCACTTGTCGGTACCACGTGAGGGCGTGTCCGCTCAGGCAGCCTCTGAGCACTCCTAATAAATCCGTTTCCCGGATTCTAAGGATCTTCATTGCATAATCGACTCGGGATATGAAATCTTCCACATCCTCCTTCGGTCCTCCTGAGAACTGAACTCCCCATTTCTTTAAGGCCTCGAGGGCGTTTTGGGTGTTCAGATAATTTTCTCGGCGAGGGCGATATTCGTACTCACTCGCTTCATCCGACGAATATCTCTGCCTCCTCGGAGGTGCGGGATTTCGTTCGTGGAAAGCTGGCCTTTCCCTGGTGGGAATTGGCCGTTACCTCTCTCTTTCTCGCTCGTTTTCGAGTCGGTCCTCGTTATTTCTCGGTGGACCTATCCGCCCGCGGAGCTCTCTATCGAGGCGTTGCACCTGAGCCAATAGTTCGGCTGCTGTCGGCGTCGCCTTCGTCATGTTTACCCTGGGAATCTCTTCCGTGGGTGTCACGGCGCCGCTAGCATTCCTGCTGCTTCGCCCGCTTCGGTTTTTACTCCCTGGCGGTCTCCCTCGTGGTCGAGGGGCGGAATTTTCATCCCGTAGGCCGAGGATGCGCGCCTGTTCCACGAGTACACGTGTCTGCTCTAGGAGCGTTTTCAGTGCCGCGGCACTGGCATCCTCCTTTTTTGAAGTTTTTGCAGGAATTTTCTTTCCTGGCCCAACTTTTCCTTTGGCCGACACTAATTTTCGACTGTCTAGCCCCTCCTCCTCTGATTTCCGCTCGCATTCCGAGAAGTCCTCTTCGGTTTCACTACTTCCTTGAGTGCCTCGTCGCTCGTCGTGACGACCGTTACTCCGAGAGTTGCCAGCGCTTCCGGCCTCGTCTAGAGGATATCTCCCCGGGTTGGTACCCTCTGGGTCTACCATCTCCGTTTCCTCTCCTTCAGGCGATTTCTCAACCTTGGATGGATCACCTTTTGGTGCCATTTTTGGTCCCAATAATATTCTAATATTCTTAAATTTTATTAAAACCAATACAATATATCAAAACGAATAAAAACGAATTTTGAGGTATTTCTAGATTAAAATTTCGGATAGAAGAAATCACAATGAAAATGACTTAATGTGGCTTATTATTTTAAGTGTCTGCATAAGATCTCTCATGGCAGCAATCGTTTCTTTTTTTCAATTTCAATTCAGTACAAGGCTTCACAGCATTGCCGGGTATAGAGCAGTGTGACCTCTACAGGAAGTTTAGGTCATTCGAAAATCTCACAGGGTACCCATTCTTGCGTCCTTCAGTGAATCCCACGATCTCGTCCATGCATATGCGGTTGAAAGTTTGGTATTCTTCTTCGGTATGTCTCTTATCAGATTAGTATTGGCCTTCCAGACATAATACTTCGAGTACTCACAAGGTAAGACATAATTAGAATATGATCTGACATCCAATCTGTTGGATTTCGTGAAAATTTATTCACTCACGATTTTTTCAAAATGTCGCGAATTCTTTACGAAGTGCTCAAAGGTTCCAACCATCGAACGATGTTGGCCAAAATTATGGGTTACATAGAAGCCACTGGGGAGAAATTTATCATCGGCACATCGAAAATATTGGACAATAATGCTCAAAATGGAGTTAAGATTGACCGCGATGTAAAGGGCTATGGCCATGATCTCCATTGGTATCAGGCAGAGGATGTCTGTATTCACAGCATTAAACACCAAAAGAAGAAGGATCCCCGGCATTTTTCTCATATGCGTAAATATAAGTAAAAAAATTAAGTGTTTGAAAATCAAACACTTGATTGGAGAGCAACTTATTAAACATGATCGGAAATTTTTTGTTTGTGCTGCAAAAATTTCCCGTGAAGAATGTCTTATTTTTTTCGTAAAATTGTTGATAACGGAAATGATTACATAGTTGTTTCATTAAATTTTATAATTGAACAATAATTGTGAGATCAAAGGCTTCTGGGAAATATTAGTTTTTTATTTAACCCTTACAAATAAGATGACGCAAATAAATATGGCAATCAAACAAATATTGAAATTTTTAAATTTATTCATTCATATCACATCAAATGACACGAAGGAAATTAATTTAAAACATCCACTGTAGGAATGTCACGAACTGTGAGGGTGGATTCAAAATTCATATCAAGGCTAGTGATCTGCACTCTTACAAGCTCTGGGACATGTCTGAAGAGCACGACCATAGTCTACAACCAAATCCCCATTATGTTTCTTCGATCAGACCGAGCGCGAAGAGATCTGTGGCGAAGAAAAAAAGAAAGCTGCCACCAGCTTCAATTCGCCCAGCTCTGCCATCTGAATTTCCACCTGGTCCTTCACCATCCACCTCATCCGTGACCACAATGACATCACCTCCTCCAGCAGCATCTGCGGTTTCGCCATCCACCTCATCAGCGTTCATGGCTCCATTTCAGCCCCAAACAGGCTCATCCACGCTACGTACAGCATAAGCTCTTTTTTCAGTCGCCCCATTGGAAAAGGAGAAAATAATTGAGATAGCTGGAGACAACGCGGACAATGTGTCTACCACGATGGCCGACGTGTCTGCAACCCAAACAGGCGTCGAATATCCAGCTACTGCACCTCGTTCTGCAAGATCTGCTGTTTCGCCATCCACCTCACCAATGCTCGTGGCTCCATCTCAGTTCCAACCAGCCTCACCTACAGCACCTCCACATGCAGCACCAGCTGTTTTGTCGGCCACCTCTTTGGAGAAGGGTGCAAGTGAGATAGCTGAAGACGAGAAGCAGAATGTGTCCACTACCGAGGCTGAGGTGTCTGCAACTCCATCAGAGCTAGTGTCTCCAGCTACACCACCTCCACCAACAACATCTGTAGCTTCGCCACTTCTATCATCAGTGCTCGTGCTTCCATCCTCACCAACACCACCTCCATCTGCAGCACCAGCTCTTTTGCCAGCCGCCTCTTTGGAGGAGGGAGCAAGTGAGATAGCTTAAGACGAGAATGTGTCCACTACAGGGGCTGAGGTGTCTGCAATTCCATTAGGGCTAGTGTCTCCAGCTACACCACCTCCACCAACAACATCTGCTGTTTATCCATCAGTGCTGATGGCCCCATCCTAGCCCCAACCAGGCTTATTAGTGCCATCTCCACTTGCAACGCCAGCTGAAGATTCGTCGGCTGAGTCATCTGCAATCAGTTGCAGCGAGAGTGTTAGTAATACTAGTGACAGTGTTGATGGTATTTCAAGTGAGAGCACTACCTGCACCGATGACGATGATGAAGATTGTGGAGCTGGCGATATTGGCAAACGACAGTGCCCTGATGAAAATGAATGTCCAAGGAATTTCAAAAGCAGACGAGTGCAAATGAAAGCATTCAACGATAAATCCATCAAGGAACAGTTAGAGGTACTGTTGTACTGGGTCTTGAAGAGTAAAAAAGTTCATGAAATATCATCGTCCTAACAGCAGGGCGCAAATTGCGAATTAATGAGTTGCAATTAGATCCGAAGACGCTACCTCAACCACTGATGGTGTCAGGAATTTTGAAGTTGCAACCGTTTTGCTATCCCTAGCAAACTATCATCCACGCTATAGCGTGGATGTAGTGTGTATGTTGCGTGGATGTTGCGTGGATGCAATTTTTTGGATGAAAAACAGGTAGAAATCGATGAAAACAGATGATAGAATGATGTGGGATGAATAAGGTGGATTATTTGATACATTTGGCGATGTTTGCTTGATTATTCTGGGATAAATTATGAAAAATATATAATGGGCATGAAAACAGCGTTCGGAAAATGCCGAGAGATGGCGGTAGGATTATATTACCGACTTCGATAACCGAATTGAACGTAGCCGTTTAATCGCGGCCCCCGGAGCACTGTGCATTTGGAAGAAATCTATTTTTTTTATTAACATTTCAAGCTTCTTTCTTCATAAATATGTAAGTACTTTGGTGGAATTTAGGAGAACATTATCAGAATTTAGGAGTAATTAGTGTTCGTTTAATTGAATGTCCTTTTTTGTCAATAATAATAAGCAGAAATTATAAGTTAAAAAAATGAGCAGAAGTTATGAGTTAAAAAAATCAAAAATAATTGGAATCGATAGAGAATAATTTAGTGGTCATTATAATCAAGGTTTCATAAATTAGGAGTTAAAGCCCGGCCTTCTCGTCGTGGGAAAATTTTGGTGACTTTTACCCCCGCCCATCAGCTTGCGGCCGACTTCGAAGCTCCATCTAAAAAATACAGGGTCAATAAGAGAAAAAGTGACAAAATGGGACACTTTTCCAGGGCCGTCTGGGACTCCCACGTCAGGGTGCCAAACTTTTGGGGCCCCTTCGAAAAAAATTTGAACGATTGAAGATTTTTCATTTGAATTTATAGGGGGTGGAATAAAAGGGTAGTGGGAATGAGAAATCCATTTTATTCATTTTTTTAAACAAATAGGGGCATGACGGTAAAGAAGGGGGAGGGGGCATGGATGCGAGGGTGACATGGAAGTTTGGGTATCGGATGAATCCGTCGGAAAAAAATGAAGGATTGAGAGTGGCATGAGTGTGGCAGGGTTAAATAGGGGGTTGATGGTGCAGTGAGTGCATGTGTGAAAATGAAGGGTTGAAGCTGGGATGAGCGTGGCGGGTAAAATAGCGGATTGATGGTGGAGTGAGTGCAGGTGGGAAAATGAAGGGTATTTTTTTTTTATATAAATATTTCCTGAATAACCGATAAAAACATGGATTTATTTTACTTTATTACTGCAACTTAATGAAATGAACATAGTATTCAATTTATTTCAGCTATCGGAAAAAAGAAATCAAATTTGAAACGTAAAATTTGAGAAAGTAATTATATTCTCTGCTATTCCAATTTCCAAAAAAAATTAACGTATACCTTGGCGGACCACTCGATAGGGTGGATCGAGTTGTGCACTGAGTCGATAGGTATTCGAGATTGAGTCGACGGTAATGTGGATCCACATTACTTAGTGCTAAAGCTGGAATTTTGGCAAATAGGTGGCTACCCCATACTCCGGCAACAACTCTGGCCCAGTCATGGTTGACCTTCGGCACGCCGAAGCTCGGTGACCAGGCCTCCGCCAGTGGTGGGTCAGGGCTTGGTGATTGAAGTTCAGCCACTGGTAAATTTTTTTGTCTATATATATATATACATATATATATATATATGTTATAAAAACTGGGTTCATCGCAAGAATAATCAATGGAAATGTTTATTTATTGTTCGTAAATACAAAAACGCTTACAGTCTATCATAAAGATGACTAGTTCTCCTACACTGCTCTCCATAAGCACTAGCCTCCACCATCCCATCAGACAGCAGCACTCGCCATACAAATTCAAATGTGACCCACAGTATACATATTCTAATAATATATATATATATATATATATATATTTTTTGTTAATTGCTTTTATTTTATATGTTTCTAAGTACAAAGTTATCGGTTACATACCTAAATTTATTGAAATTGCAGAAGTTACTTGCATAAGATGATTTTTTACAAAATAATAATCATCAATATGATTTGTATAATTATTATTAATTGATATACGACATAGGAGAATGGAAATTCAACTAAGCGTGCGTTAGACTCGTGGTTAGGGCGCCGGACTAGTACTTGTTAGGTCGTCGGTTCGATCCTCGGTTAGAGTAAAATTGTAAGTTAACAAAATCGGTTTTTCAGCGGTAATTTCGGTAGGGATCGGTAACTAGGTAATAATTAGTGATAAAAAAGGGCATAAAATGCATTAATTATTTTGTTTTTGCAATTAACCATAACTGTGGAGAACAGTGTGGAAGTCGCTCCGTGTCACTATTGATTATTTTTCCTCCTCAAATCCGGTGTAAGTGCTCAGGGAGGTATTTAATGGTTTCCTCTTCGATTATTCCGACAATATTTTTATAATCAACCATTAATGAATGGAGCCTGGTGGACAATTGGCAACCGAACTTGGGCCAAGACTGGCAGCCAGGCCTGGCCCCGTGTTATCATCCCAGGCTCCCGCCTTGCTTGGCGCGGACTTGGCGGAGCAACGGGCCACAGGCCTGGGAAGCCCGGGCACCGCAGTCGGCCCGGGCTTAGCCCATTCGTTTTTTCCTACCTGGGACCCCTGCCGGAGCTCCAAAATAATTTTGTTTTTTTACTATTTATATATATAAAATGAATATAGGTCATAAGAGTTTATTCAATCTTATAAATTTATGGAATGAAGGCGCATTCTAGGCTAAACTATCAACCTGTTTGAAGGCTGGCTTGGCTGGTCTGAAAAGATGTACTTATGCTACAGCCTTGCATTTTCAGCCCTAACGTAGCCTTGCAAGCTCTGATTCAAGGCTTCAAAAGATTTTTTCTTTTGTAGTTTCCTACTTGGTCGGCGGGTGGGGGTAAAGAGGTCTTGTAGTTCAGACATGGGCCAGCCAGATCTTTCGAAGCAGAGCCGTCCACTAGAATTAGGAATCCAATAAAGTTTACCGCCATTTCAATTGTAACGGTTCTAGTACGAGTATAATGGGGACAATAGTAGGGGCAGCCTGACACTTCACCATTTCATTCTTAGAGAATTGCGTTCCCGTAAGAGTCGCCGCCGCGCCGTTGCGCTAGTTGGCCTTATTCTCGAATCTTAGATTTTAGCGTATCTGACAACTTAACCTCTACAACAAATTGTCGTATGTCAATATCGAGTGTCAAACAAATGTAAATTAAAAGTAGGAATCAAAATATAAAATAAAAATAAATGAAAAGAACAAAGTGTGATCACAGTGCAGTTTCACATGAATCATGCCAGTCTGTGCTGTGAAAGGGTGTACGATTGGATATAAATCCAATCCTGAGAAAGGACACTTTTTTGGCACTCCGAAAATGTTGAAATTGTTGGAAAAATGGAAAAATGCGACTCAAAGGCCAGATTTATATGGGAAACATAAAATTTGCCATAAACATTTTTTACCAAGTGACATTTTGAGAGTGAGAATTCTATGTGGAAGTGATGGAACAGTACTAGGTCGAGTAAGTAAAATCATTATTAAAATTATGAATGTATTAATTATTAATCCCACTTATCACTCATAATATTCAAGAATCACCCTCTTAATTTTTAGTCGCCACTCCTTAAGCCCAGGTTGGCTGAAGGAACGATACCTTCACAGTTCCCTTGGACCCAATCACCTGTTATCCAATTTTCACCACCTGTCAATGTCACACTTCGTTCCGAAGACTCATTTCACCGCCCAGAAGCAAATAATATTGCTCAAAAATCCTCATGTGATGATGACATGGACATAAGTGGCTCGTGAATTTCTCCTCAAATTATAACTCATGACAATGCAGATATGGAATCCTTAGTCTCGTTTGAGAATCTGGCATCTAAGGTCGAAATGCCAAGTGAGTGGAGCGCCATGTACATACGTGAAAAACACGATGATGTTTTCGTAATGTTTGAGCCTAAAATCCGCCAAGTGGATCAAATCTGTAAATCTTTTGTGCAGAAAGAGATCATTGTCACGAAGGATTTAAATCTCCAAATAAATGTCTTGGGTGAGATGATTGATATGCCAGCTCTCAATATTACGAAGAAATTACATCATATGAAACAATTGGAGGAAATAATGATTATGCTAGATAAGGCTAATATATGCAAAGGATCCCATGAACCCAGTGAAATCATCCCCAGTAGTTACACAACAGTGAAGAAGGATGTTTCGGATGCCCTTCGGCATATTAAATGTCCTCTGATTATCTCCAACTCTAAATACTTAGGGCAAGCATAGCACTAAGGACTGTACCAAAAATTTGGGGGAGATCAAGGATTGCCTTCATCCCCAAACCTGGAAAGAACGGGCATATCAAGCCCAGGGACTTCAGACCCATCAGCCTCACCTCCTTCATATTGAAGACACTGGAAAGACTGGTGGATCAATACATAAAGAGCACACTGCTTCTTGAGAAACCCGTATCACCCTCACAATATG